TCCGCCTCCACCTCCTCCTCCTCGACCATCGGTTCCTCCTTCCTCCTCGTCCTCCTCGATCCTGATAATTTCATCGTCGATCATCGATCCTCGTTTCCCCCTGCTCCTCGTGCTTGTTCTCGCATCCCCCTTGAAGGACTCTGGGATTTGAAACCGGAGCCACCCTCCATCCGTGTAATACTTGCACAAAAGTAGCTCACAATGTCTTGACCTAAAGATTGACGAAGTCTCAACCAGAACGCACGTGTTGAGCATGGGCCACGCCCCACCCGTGTAACAGCTGCACAAGTTCAGTTCTGGACGAGAAGATTGATGAAGTCCCAAACGAAACACTGGTATTGAAAAGAGACCGCATTCCACCCATGGAACTACTGGAAACGTCTGAAGCGAATGCGCGCGGCGCCGAGGCAACCACACACATTTTGAAAACCGTCTCCGTCCATCCGTGTATATGTTGCAAGCTGTTGGGGCAAAATTGTGCGGCGTCGAGGCGAGATATACATGCTGGAGAGGAAGAAATATCCACCAGCGTAAGCAATGCGGAACGTTAACACAAATCCGGCCGGGCTGCGCTCAGGCGACAGCCACAGTTTGAAAACCTTCACCAGCACCCCACCCAATCCATCCGCGTACGTAGTTGCTGGAAACTGGTAGGACGAATACGCAAGACGAGGACCACAGTTTGAAAACCATCCCCACTTCGATCCCTACGACTGATGGAAGAACTGAAAACGAATGCGCGAGGACAACCCTTTGAAGCCACCCCCCCTCAACCATCCGCGCAACTGTCCGCAACTTCCGGAAGCCACACGCGAAGAGACCGACACGCTCGGTGGTCAGACGAGGCTGGGCCACATGTAAGGAAAAAGTGGAAGGGAGAATGCGACACGAGGGAAGGAGGGAGGAGGAGGACGAGGAGGAGGAGGACGAGGACGAGGAGGAGGAGGAGGACGAGGAGGACGAGAAGGAGGAGGACCAGGAGGAGGAGGACCCGCGCCTGGCCGCCCTCCTGCTTCCCCCCGGCGGAGGAGGAAGGGGAGGGACGGGAACGAGGAGGAGGACGGGAAGGAAGGAGGAGCAGGGACGGGAAGGGGAAGAAGGGCAGGAAGGGACGGGAAGGAGGGGAGGAAGCAGGATCCCAGCGTTAAGGTCGTCGTCGTCGGCGGGGGCGTCGTCACGGAGGGAGGGGCGAGGGGCCGTTAGGAGGAGGAAGAGGAGGAGGAGGAGGAGAAGAGGAGCGAAGGGAAGAGAAGAGAAGAGAAAAGAAGAGAAGACCGGATGAGAAAAAAGGATGAGGAGGTTCAGACAGAGGGAGGACATGCCACGCATTTCGTTCTCTCTCTCTCTCTCTCTTTCTGCCTCTTTTTCTCTCTCTCTCTCTCTCTCTCTCTCTCTCTCTCTCTCTCTCTCTATATATATATATATATATGTGTATACATGTATATATATATATGTGTGTGTGTCTCTATCTCTCCCTATCTCTCTCCCCCTCCCTGGACGGATCCATTACATTATGGTTACGGCCTCCTCTCCAATGTCGCTTATCGTTCCGCTTCTCTGGGCATTCACACGTTACCGCCGGCTCTTGGCACGGCCTCTCTCCGAGCAGCTTGCCCGACCTCGGTCGCCACGGCCCTACGGCCAAAGCTGGCACAGCGCGGACAGGACGGGAGGCTTCGGACACGCTCCCTCTGGAGGCGCCCCGGTCGCCACGGCTGACGTCGCGCCAGCATCCTAGTCAGCACGCGCCCCAGAAGAGGGTCGGGAGGGGTGGGTTCGACGACCGGGGAAGGAGGGCAGGAGTGGGACTCTCCAGTCCGCGCCAGAATCCTGGTCAGAACGCGCCCCAAAGGAGGTCGGGAGGGGTGAGCTTGACGACCGGGGAAGGAGGGCAGGAGTGGGACTCTCCAGTCTGCTTGGTGGAATGGCTCAGCGGGACCCGCCTGTTCCCGCTCTGTTCCACGACAGAGGAACCGAAGATGGCACAGCTTGAGATTGGGACTGGAACGCGCTCCGACCTGGCCAACGGCAGACCTTCGCGCGCGCAGTCCCTCTTTCCGACGACTCGACGACGAAAACAATACACGGTCCATCGCACGGGCGGGAGCGGAATTTCAGAAAGTCCGCGCGCGGCCTTGCGCGGCGCGAGCACCATTTGGCCCTCTCGGTCGGATACAGTGGGGGCCAATCCACAAGATACCTTCCACCAGAAACCCGTCCCTGAGACCTCAGGGCGTCCATCGTTTTCGGTGTGGGAACGTCACGTCTTCCGTCGCAGAACCACCGAAAACCAGGGAACCCAGGGCACCCTGGAGGCAAAGCAGGGTGTCTCTTGGCACGGGTCCTCACCATAGAACTCCGGTGAGCGCGGCGAAGACGAAACCTGCGCCGCGCCAGACCAGCACCGCCTCTCTCTCACGCAGCCTGCGGCGCCTGGCCGAGGAGCCCTTCTTTCCGCCCGCGCTCGCGGGCGGCCCCCGCTGCGCCGCTGCCGCTCTCGGGTCGGCTCGGCGGGCGACACCGGCGCCGCGCCCACGCGCGAGCGCCACTTCTGGTCGAACTTTCTACACCGAGCTTCCGGAAGAGGGCGAAAACAGAGGCCTCCTAGATGGGGTCCGGCGACGCATCGGCGATGCATCGGCGACGTCGGTGTGGGGAAAGGCGGCCTCCACATCGAGCCGCACCGTCGATGCATCGGAGGTGCGGCGCGCTCCTCCGACCCCATCTTCTCGGACCCCATCTGGGAGGCCTAGAGAAAAGTCACCCCGCAGATGAAAAAACAAAAAAAAAAAAAAAAAAATGCCCCGCGCCGTGGCCAGAGCGCCACTGTCACGCGAGCTCCGTGCGGCGCCACAGGCGAGAGCGACGCGTTTCCCGAATAGCTTTTCGCCAGAGGGTTCTAATCTTAGGTCGGGCATGTCCCCCTACAGGCGGGTCTTGGACGAAAAATGAAGGATACCCCAAACATTCAATATATGTTATAAAATATTTGTCTTTTTACCAACAAACACACAAAAAAGAGTCCCAAGACTACTTGTTTACTATTTTTGAGCTTTCCTCCTGCAGAGGGACAAGCCCGCCTCAACTCTAAGGTGGTTCAAAAACTTCTTCTCGCCCGGGGGGCCGCAGGCAGAACTCCCAACGGGGCTCGGTCCGTCGGATGGGCGCTCCTCCTCCTCCTCCTCCTCCTCCTCCACCTCCAAGCTGCTGTCGCGGCACAAATCCCACTCTTCTTCGCAGCTTCTGGAACCGCCAGGGCACTCCCTTCAGAGGCAGCGATGTGCTCTCCGCCCATGCGGGGCCCGCGCTCTCCGTGAGAGGGAGCGGACCGCACCCGACGCCGCCGCAGGCTCCTCGCCGTGTGCGGCGGCGACAGCGTGGACTATGACGACGATAGCGGGTGCGGCCCCCTCCAGATTTTTGCGTGCTGTGACTTACAACCCAATGCATCTGTGTGGAATGCGAGGGGAAGAGGTTTCATCGGAGTTCGGGAACGTGGGGGCGGTCCTATTGCAGGGTACTGGTCGGAGAAAGATGGAGGACGAGCCTCATCGCGTGTTCCGCCACTCACGTCATTATGAATTATCGTTTGGTTACTCGAGGTCTTCGAACAAATCGTGTGGAACGAGTATCATGCTGCACAGTAAGGTCTTCCCGCAGCGCTGTAGACGTATTTTCTGCCCGCCCGCGGAGTTGGAGGGGAGATGTGGCGCCGTGCGCCTGAAGTCTGGATCCCTTGATGTGTTGTTCGTGACTATGTATTTTCCAGTATATTCGAGCATGCGGGCGGGCCGTGATGAGCAGAAACGAAAATTAAACAAGATGCTGGCCTGGCTACGAAATCTGTTATTATCCACGGGGGGACGGTGCACCCCCATTGTTGGCATGGACCTGAACGACGGGTTGGGCAG